AAAAACAGAATTAAATGAAAATCATTCATTTAAAACATAGAAGTTAAAAGCAAAGAATATCAGGTCAGAAAAATGAGTTACATTGGCTAACACTATACTGTAAACTTTTTATCCTGGCAAAATATTTATTTGCTCAAAGTCCCAATATCATCAAAGAACGGAAAACAAGAAAGGGTATTTAGTAGTCTGTCTAAGCCCTATCCACAGAAGGAGAAAGGTCTTCAATACTAAAACTATTTTTTTCTTTGATGAGCCATCTAGTAAAAAAAAAATAAAATTGCTAACACTTGCAATTAGTTGACTCATTAGCCAGCGGACTCTATTGTCTCTGGCACCTCCATTGACTTCATTGATCATACTTACCAGAACTATATCAAAAAAGTAATGGAAAAGAATTACCTTAAAACTGCTAAATACTCAAAACATTTGATCCCAAAAGAAAAAGGAACAAAATTCTTTATTTCAAATGCTGTTTTTAAAGCACAATAAAGACTCAAAATAATTTTACTAACCAAACAAAACCCATTAAAAAAAGCCACATAAAAAATTCTAGGGCTAGCAAATTTGTAAATATATATATACATATATATATATACACATACATACATATGTGTGTATATATATAGAGGGGGGGGGTCAACTGTAAATATATTTCAAATGAAACTGTAAAGGGACTTGTTTCACTACTTCTACCAAAATCAGATGAGTAACCATCAAATATGTTAATTATAGTTTCTATATAATTAATGTCCAGGAATTATTAGTCTCTTCCCAAGTAACTAAGCTGCATTAAAAGTACAAAGCATTCATTAATAGAATATCCACATCATGCCAACAGGGCAACAAGAAAAATTGTATATTGCCTAGATTGAAAGGCAAAACCTATTGTCCCATTCTCCAAGAGTAACAAAAACTTCAATCAACAACTCCCATAACAGAGTTTGCATTTATGAAAAAATTAATTTAGTGCCATCTATAGGAATTCTGAGAAAAAGGTACAACATTATTTAAACCATGTATACCTTCAACAATAAAAAAATGTTATGTGCCAGGCAGTGGTGGTACACACCTTTAATGCCAGCACTGGGGAGGCAGATGCAAGTGGATCTCTGTGAGTTAAAAGCCAACCTGGTTAGTTCCAAGATAGCTAGGACTCTAACACAGAGAAACCATATCTCGAAAAAACTAAAAAGGGAAAAATTATGTGCTAATATGCTGAATATACACTAATATTCTATTACTGAGTGAGGCCCACTGACAGCATTAAGTTCTACAATATATACAATTAGAAAAGTTTGGGTCAAGAAGTCCCCAGTCATAATAAAAAGAAAAGAATCACAAAGCATGTATCCACTGAACGTTCCTAATCTCAAAATTTTGATATGCTGTGAAATACTTTGGATTTGTAGATCTTCAACATTTAAATGGTAAAGTCTTGCTAAGTAAAACTGAAAAATCTGAAACACATTTGCACCCAAGAATTTTGGCTGAAAACTGTAAAACAAAAGTTTTTATCGATTGCATGATGGTTTTTTTCAAAGCAAGAACCAATTTAAAACTAAACTAAAGGTGGTGCATGCCTTTAATCCCAGCACTGGACAGTCAAAGGCAAGCGGATCTCTGTGAGTTTGAGGTCAGTGTGGTCTACAAAACAAGTTTCAAGCTAGCCAAGGCTGTTAAACATAGAAACCTGTCTTGAAAAACAACAACAAAAGAACTAAGTATTTAAAAGGTACATGAATCCTTACCATGCTGGCACAATCATATAACTAAAATAAACTATAATTTAAAAAACTCTTGCCAGGCAGTGGAACATGGTAGGTAGCACACACCTTTAATCTTAGTACTTGGGTAACAAAGGCAGGCAGTTCTCTTACAGAGAGAGAGAGAGAGAGAGAGAGAGAGAGAGAGAGAGAGAGAGAGAGAGAGAGAATATATACATAATAGCATGAGCTACATAGTGAGACAGTTTCAAAAACTCACCAACAACAATGTATTATTACTATGATGATGATGATGATGATGATGTAAAGCCTAAGGCGAAAAATCTGAGGTAACTTGTCAAATGCATAAATTTCAAAATTTAAGAGCACTAATTTTTTCTTATAAAAAAGATCAGAAAATGATACCTATCTGCTTCAATCAAACGATATCTGGTCAACTAAATAGAAATGTACAGACAGGAGGATTCTAACTCACAGTGGTATATACTTACTTTCAAATGTTAAACTAACAAGAAGTTTTTTATTTACAGTAAAATGTTGAAAATGTAATTTTTAATGATCTCAAAAGCCTTATTTTTATTTTCTTACTATCACAGCTTTAAAATACTAAAGTAAATAAAAAGAATTGTTTGTTTAGCCTTCACCAAAATATAAACATATGTGTTTTAAAAATTTAAAGTACTGACTTCCTTAATTTGAAGAATGAGAAAACTTCTTTGGCTTACAAACTAACCATTTAACTTTATTCTAAAAAAGACCTATAAACTTTATTTTATTTTAGTTTATTGATTTTTCAAGGCTTCTCTATGTAACGTAACAGCACAAGCTGTCCTGGAACTAGCTCTGTAGACCAGGCTGGCCACAAACTCACAATGCTCTGCCTGCCTCTGCCGCTCAAATGCTGTGATTAAAAAGGCAAGAACCACCACCTTCTGGTCTTATAAACACTTATGAAACATACATCATAATTAAAATTAAATGCTTGAACAAGAAAGTTTTAGATAAATTTATTGCATTCAAAGTTAAGCTTTTACCTCTTCATAAACACCAACACTGGACTACAAAAATAGAAAAACGTATAAAATTTATACACAATTTACACACAATTATACAATTGTGTACAAATTTACAATTACAATATGCTTTCTATCAAGATACATCTTGCTAAAAATATGATACTGAAAGATTTAAACATGATCTTCAGACAAATTTTTGAAGGTTGCTTAGAGCATAGTCAAATCTGTTCAAGTACTTAGTCTAAACGAAAGTAGTGCAAAGAGGTATTTATATTCCCATCAAGGATATGAGGAGTAGCTAGCCCATGCATAGTAAGATGCTTCTTTGGTATAGTGGCTATTAAACAAGTTATAAACTGTATATTTTATAAAAGCACATTAAAATGAGTATAAAGATATGCTCAAACTAAAATTCAATTACTCACCAAAGTACCCAGAAGAGTTGCAGGGTTTTTTTTTAATTTATTTATTTATTATGTATACAGTGTTCTGTCTGTTTGTATGCTTGCTGGAAATGAAGAGGACACCAGATCTTATTACAGATGGTTGTGAGCCACCATGTGGTTGCTGGGAATTGAACTCAGGACCTCTGGAAGAACAGTCAGTGCTCTTAACCTCTGAGCCATCTCTCCAGCCCCCAAGTTGCAGTTTTTTTAAATCACAAGTTTAAGATGGAATTAATGAGACTTTTTAATATAATAGTTGTCAGTTAAGGAGAGGTAAAATCAGAGAATTTTAGAAGTGAAAATGTTAATTTTTGACAAGCTATAACAAAAATTATACTTTAATAACATTCTTAATTGGTGACTAAATCTAAAAGTTCATCTCTCATAGTTAAAAAAGTACTAATAACTATTAGTAAAAAGATTTTGTAAGAATTACTACTAACATCTATGGGCTTGTGATTTATACGAAAACAGCAGCATATATGAATGAAAGCATTCTAAAAGAAAAGCAAGTTCTAAATGCTTTCATAATCTAGCCCTAATGGTATATACTATAAAACTTCTGGACAGACATTTGTAAGAGAAAAACTAAATAGGGAAGCAGAGGCTGAGTCTCTGGGTTTACAACAGAGCTCTAATTAACTGTAGAAATAAGTATGGTCTTTCACCCTAGTTAAAGGATTCAGTCTACTAACACAATGCCAATGGCTGAAACAGAAACCTGTCAGCATCAGCAAGACACAAACTTGGGAGAAAATAACAGATGACCTTAGAGCACTTGGTTCATTTATCACAAAATTATGACAGCAAGTATGTAATATTTTCAGTTTCTAAATACTAGAGCTTTCTATTGGAAATAGATGGTCATTTTCATGGTCTTTACTAAAATCGTTTTTCAGACTATTGCGTATTTTTTGTATCAGAATTAAAGAGAGAAAATATCCATCTTTCATTGTTAGAAATAAAAAATTATGACAAAAAAATTATATTCACCAGCCCAATATTACACAATTAATTATTAAAAGGTTAGAAGTTGACCATCCACTATACATACCAGGCTATGTTCTCATTAGGTATCCTAAAGAATAGAAAATGTTTAAAATGTATGCAGAACCATGTTGACTATGGTTAATATGGTTAATATATGTTTAATTTACTCACTGCTGTGACAGGGTTGTCTTTTTTTTTCTTTCAGCCATCCCTTAGATAAGGATAGATAACTGTATAGACTTCACTGTTTACATTTAAACATACTGTTTAAGTCTTAGTGAAATTAATAATGTCATACTATATACTTCTATTTGGGAAAAAAAGGTTAAAATATGAATCGGCCTATATACGTCATCAACTGATACTTAGTTTGAAAGAAATTTTCTAAGCTTAAATATATGAATTTTTTCATTCTTCACAGGTCTTCATAAATAGGACCACTATGTTGAATGACAAAACAATAATCAAATATAGAGATGTCTGTTCTTGCCATTTATTATGATTCACTTGTATCAAAAATTAATCTGTCAAAACTGAAAGCCTCAAAAAATAATCACATTTTACATGGAAAGATAAAATTGACAGTTCTTTATTTATAACACACCCTATGCTAGGTGTGTTAATATTGATATTTGTTTTCTTTTAAGCTTTCTGAGCTTTAGCCCATTTTCTGGCCTTTCTTTCAAACTTGCAAGAAGACTGGCATGAGTCTTTCTAAGGCAGGAACTCCTGGTTTTTACAACCTCCTTGTTGTTAAGTTGTTGCTGTTTGCGCCCACGCCTAGGGTGTGTTATAATCTTAAGTCCTTATAGATGGAATCATACCTATTCTCAGGATCATTGTCGTCGTCGTCATCATCCACTGTGACAGGCACTGATTTAGATAAGGCTTCATCTCCTTGGGAGAAAAAGTGTACTTAAAATTAGCTTTGAATTATCTATACAAGTAAAGCTGTGTAAAACAAAATCGAAACCCAACAATGCTAGAGCAAACTAGTAGGTTCTATACAAAAGTGCTGAAATCTAAATAAGTACAAGGAATGTTGATAAAATACATAAAAGGAACTTTATGAAGGATCGTGTGTGTCTGAAGGTTCCTTTCAAAGCACAAGAATTTTAAAGGCCATCCTTTTTACAAAGGCTTATTAGTTGCCATCATTACCTGTAGTTTGTTACAGTAACTGTATTAATCTACTGAAAGCGCAAAGTTAACCAGTGTCTACTATTTCTGAATTCATTGAAGAATAACAAAACTGCTTCTATTTTGATAGTGCCAAGTAATAGAAAAACACACTTTGAATCCGTATAAAACCTACAATTTGAGGTACCCAAAAAAAGACATTCGAGCACACTAAGACTTACTTCATTTTTAAAAGTTTTTTATTTAAAATCTAAGGAGATAGCTGAGGCTGTAGGTAAGCGGCATAACACTACTCTTTAATATTCACAAGGTCCCAGATTCCACTGCAAACACAGCAAAAAGGGAACAAAGGCAGGATGACTGGAATTTGTGCATTTCATAGTACAAAAGTTTTACCTTAAAAGAACAACTTAAATATTAAACTCTAGTTAATATTATGAATGCCAAACCACTCAGGGTTACTTATGCTGATGTTCAATATTAATCCACTATTAATTCAATATTATTCACTATTAATGAACGGAAGATGTCAAGGACAATACAGAGGGGGAAAGCTCTTAATAAATATCAATCTCAAATTAAGCAAATTAATTAGTAATGGAGACAAGGAAAGAAAACTCTACAGTGAGGAAGGAAACAGGTGTCATAATAATGAAACATTTAGGCATTTTTGTTGTGTTGAGGTTATACAGAGCTAAACACAAGAAAAACCAAAATAAACATACATACATACATACATACATACATACATACACACATACACACCAAACACACATGGGGTGGGGAGAACAAATGTATATACAACTACTGAATTAAATCAGGTATGGTGACTCACAACAGTAATCTTAGCAATAGACAGGCAGAAGCAGAGGATCATAAATTTGAGGCCAGCTTGGGCTAACAATAGGCTAGGCATGACGGTGCATACCTTTAATCTCAGCACTGAGAATCAGACACAGGAGGATTTGTTTGAATTCAAAACCAACCTTGTCTACATAGTAAGTTCTAGACCAGCTAGTGTTACATAGTGAGACTTGTCTCAAAAAAGAAACATGAAGGGGCTGGTGAGATGGCTCAATGGTTATTTAGCATTTGCTGTTCTTCAATAGGATTGGAGTTCAGTTCCTAGCACCCTTGTCAGGAAGTTCACAAATGCCTGTAAACTCCATCTCCAGGGGATCTGACACCCCCTTCTTCTCTGTGGGCACTCACACAATTGCACAGAGACACAAACATACAAATAAGTAGCAATGTTTTATTCAAATCTACTAAAATATAAATAAATCTTCAATTTTCTGGACTTAACACTGTATTAGTTACACAAGTTACCACTAGTGAGGAAATCCAGTAAAGGGAATATTTGAGACCCTTTTTTCCCTTATTCTTTCCAACTTTTTCCATAACATAAGAGAGGAAATGGAGAAAAATATATATAAAGAAAGGACTTTGGGCTAAGTAATGTACCTCAGAGATACAGTACTTGCTTGGTGTGTGTGCAAAACTGAAACCTAGTACTGAGGAAGGGTCGACGGATACCTACAGATTTCAGGATAGAAGCATGCTAACTGTAGAAAAGCAAAAATAACTCTCAGGACATTCTAGTAAACATCCCTCTTGAACAATATTAAAATAACATATTTCTAGATGTATTACCTTCATTCCCTCCTTTTTAGAGGCAAGATCTCATTATTTGGCCCTACTTGATCAATAATTTGCAATGTCATCCAGAACAACTTCAGATCAATTACAGTGATTCCTCTACCTTTGCCTCTGGAGTGCTGGGATTACAAACCATTAACTCCATGCCATCCGATGTAATCCCCTTTACTGTCTAAATGTTGACCTAAACTTCAAAATCAAGTTCAAACAGTACAATTTTTGCCTAAAATACTTAAATAGTTCATTTACCATTACAACACCCATTGTGGTTTTCTCAATTTTATTTTTGATAGCATTTTAGGAGTAGAGGAATCATTCTTTTTGTTCTGTTTTGCTTTGTGTTTGAAAACAGGATTTCTCTATGTAGTGTGGCAGTCCTGGAACTCACTACATAAACCAGTCTAGCCCCATACTCAGGAGATCCAGGCAGTCCTCTGCCTCCCAAGTATTATGATTAAAGGTGTGCACACTGCAACCCGGCTTAAGCAATGTTTTTTAATCACTGGCTCATACCTAAGTTTATCCTGGAAAAAAAAAACAGTATTTTGTGCATGTTTATCTTCAAAACCTTTCATATTTCTATTATGTTTGCATATTTCTATTGGTAGGATAAAATCCCTGGTAAATTTATCTTTTATTTCTTATCCTAAATATTCCACTTGGTCCTAGCAAATTTATATTCTATTTTTTATTCTAAATATTCCACTTGGTCCTAAGAAATTCACAAGCAACATGGTTTATTTAATCAAACTGTTGAATAATTAGCATCTGATTAAGAGACAGATACTCAAGCTTTTTTGGATATATATCCCTAGCACCTAGTCAGTTTATGTCAAGGTTCTATTGGCTAAAATGGAACATAATTGTCTAGGTTAGTACTGAATTATGGGATTACTGGGAAATGCTTTCATTGTGTGTTTGCCACATGTTGCCAGCTTCTAAGGTCTAATGAATAATAGTACTTATTACACAAAATATTAATAATTCCAAACATAAGACAGAAACTTTCTGTTGGACATAACTTCAGTACTCGAGGTAGAGGCAGGATGATTACTACAAGTGTGAGGCTGCTCTAGTATACATAGACTAGTGAGTGTTACATAGCAAGAGCTTGTCTTAAACATCATCAAAAATAAAGTAAAATGAAATAAAATAAATGATGGGTCTGGGGAGATGACTCGGGAGCTAAGGGCACTTGATGTTTTCACTGCTCTTGCAGAAGACTTGTGTTTGATTCCCAGTCCCCACATAGTGGCTTCCAAACTTCTCTAACTCAAAGTCCAAGGGATCTGAAGCCTTCTTCTAGCCCCCAAGAGCACCACGTAAAAATATGGTGCATAGAAATACATGCAGGCAAAACACCCATTAAATATCAATTTAAAAAAAGAGAAATATAAGGTCTAACACGTCAAATCACTCAGTGGTAGAGCATTTGCCCATCACACATGAGAGGCCCTGGACTCCCCAACATTCCACACCCAGACTCAGAGAGAGAGAAAGAGAGAGAGAAAGAGAGAGAGAAAGAGAGAGAAAGAGAGATAGAGAGAGAAAGAGAGAGAAAGAGAGAGAGAGAGAGAGAGAGAGAGAGAGAGAAGCTCATAACTTTTCATTCTTACAGACTAATCTTTAATAGGGATTTTACCAACTAACCTGCTAACTAAAACATTTTCTATCAAAGTAACTATTACACTTTGTGTTTGTTTAAATTATGTATATATGTCTATTGTATGAGTACGTACATGTTTGTACATATGGCCATGAAGGCCAGAGAATTAGGATCTCTTAGAGCTGGAGTTACAGGTGTCTGTGAAAAACAAAATGTAGGTCTCTAGAATTGAACTCTAGTTCTCTAAAAGAGCAGCAATATTTGCTCTTTTTAAACTATTGAGCCATCTTTCCAGCCCCTAAATCCATTTATAATACAAGACCACAATTCTGAAGTTGAAAAAAAAAGTTATTTTACAGGAAAACCTGATCTGTATTAATACTCAAATATTTCATTTGTGGAAACATTGTTTGGTTTTGTGGCATCACATCAAACCTCTTCAAGAGTTTTTTTTTTAAATGCCCTATAAATTTAAAGGTTTTTTTTTCTCAAAAATAAGACTGAAGTTAGTTTTATTTAGAAAGTTGGAATAAATGAGAAACTCATAAGTAATAAAGGAAAAATTCTTCTGGTTTTGCCTATACTGGAAAGTTTTCTAAAAATTTATTTATATATTTAATAATTCTAAATATTGTTGATATTGTCTTAACTAATTAAAAATAAATACAATTAACCAATATACATATACTAGTCAAGCGATTAAATTTTTTTTCTAGGTATTAAGGACAAACTGATCTAATTCATCAGGGTGGGGTGACTTTGGGATTTTTCTTTCTTCCTTTATTTTGATAGTGTTTCCAAAAGAGAAATATCTTTTCATATCATCAGATACTAGTTGATGAGGAAAAGGATTATATTAAAGTAAATTCCAATTCTTTAGATGTTGAGTGCTAAAGCATTTGTCTAGTGTACAGAAGGGCCTAGGAATAATCACCTTCTAATATCAAAACAAATTATTTTAGAGAACCAGATGTGGTTATTAGAAAAAAATTAGGCAGTGACCAGCCTTAGCTAACTTGGTTACACTGAGTTCAAAGCCAACTGCGTATAAATGAATCCATCTTTAAAACAAAATATGTCAAGGAATTTGATGGGACACACAAAAAGATGTTTTGATTTAAATAGGAAAATCTAGCAAAGCAGTCAAGACTTTTATATGCCATATTATACCATTATCAAGCACTCCCCACCACTGCATGAATACTTACTAAACTATTGACATTGTAAGCAGCCTCACAGAATGAACACACACTAGTGCCCCTCAAGCTGACTAATGAAAAATAGATCCCAAGAAATGGGAATTTCCCCAGGAATCTCTAATTTCTTTAGAAATCTCACACTAGGAGAAGGAAAAAGCTAGGATCCTGGAGCTAGCCAAAGAGGGAATTTATCTCTAGGAAAAGAAGTCCCACCGGTCTATCAACTTGTCAAAATACCTTGGAGGTAGGTGTTAGCTTCAGTAACACGTACACAAACTGAAATGATAGAGAAAAATAGCATTGACCATGCTCAAGGATTTCTCTCTCTCTCTCTCTCTCACACACACACACACACACACACGAAAATTTCTGTATTTTAAACAACAAAAACAAACCAACAACAACTTGTAGTATAAGACTGACTAAATGAAGACCAACTGACAAGTCAGCGGCAAGTAGGACTACACCTTCACCAGGAGTGCTTGGATGTGCATGCATCATCCTGGCCCTCCACAAACTTTAATCTCACTTCACTTGAAACATGGCTGGCAGACAGCAGTAAACTGAATCTCCATCCCTCTTTCCAATGTGGCCATAATGAGTAAATACATTTTGACTTTTTACTATAAATCTGGCTGTTTTAGTTGGCCCCTGGGAAACAGCAGCTAGCCAAACAACTTGGCTTCTTAGGATACAGACTGTAACACCAGGTTTGGTAACAACATCAACTTGATTTTATTTCATAACTACTGCACATTATTCCAAAGAACACTGAACACTGACAAAGTAATTCTGCTGTTTATCCAACAAACTTGGGGTGCTTGACATAGAATGCTTGAAATACTCTCTAATGATGGCATAGAAATAAATAAATAAGAAAAGTATCGACAGTAAATGTCTAAATAAATTTTAAATAGGTTTTTCCTCAACAGTAACTCTGAATTTTACCTTAGGGAAAATTAAATAATATAGTTATCATAGAGGGGGACAGATTACAAATTCTAAAGTTGAAATTTACTCTTGCATACCTGAAGACTGACAAAATCCACTGTGTGAAGGCAGCACTAAATTTTCAGTCACAGGCTTTATTTTCTGTTCATCACTGCTCTCCTCGACTGCAGAATTCTGATCATCATCTTCTAGATCAGAAGACGAAGAAGTAATGTCTGCTTGCTTCCTTTTAGTACTTGTTCTTAAGGACTTTCTTCTTTTATCCTTGGCGTTGCCTATCTTCTTTTTGGCTGAAGTTCTTTGTTTCTTCCGCTTTTTATTATCTTCTGAACTTCCCTCAGCATCGGAAGAAGATGAAGCACTCCGGATTTCCTTGGTATTTCTCTTGGAATTTAAATTTCTTCTTTCTCTCAATTCAGTTCTTTTGGGTCTCTTCTCGGTAGAATCACACTCTCCTTTCAAGGAGTATTTCTCAGTATCTGAGGATGAACACTCTGGCCTCTTCCCTGAACCCTTTGCAGCCAAGCTAGATTTTTTCTTCTCTTTCTGAGAAACTCCATTCTTGCTCTTTTTCTCTTCTGAAGAGTCACAACTGTCTCCTTTGCCTGGCAACTTATCAACACTATCAGATGCGTCTTCCTTCTTTTTGGAAAACTTGTCCTTCAATTTTTTGCCTTTCTTTTCTCCATCAGTTGTGTCATGCTTATTTGGCTTTATTCCTTTAGGAAAATGGCCAATTTCTTCTCCCTCAGGCAACTTCTCAGTACCATCAGAGGAAGACTCATACTGTTGCTCTGACTTAATTGTTTCTTCCTTTAGGTCCGAAGTTTTCTTTCCTTTTGCTGCAGTTTCCCGTCTCTTGTGCTTCTTCTCGCCTTCTGAAGATTCATCGCTGTGCTCTTTCTTTGGAAATCTATCAGCACCATCAGATGAAGCACTCTGTACTTTTCTACATGCTCTGGTTCTCACATGTTTACTCCTCTCTTTACTTTTAGAATTTCCATCCTCCTCTCCGCCGGAAGGCTTTTCCGCACCATAGGAGGAAACACTTGGCTGCTGCCTTGCACAAAGCGCCTCGCTCAATTCCATGGCACTCTTGTCTTTCTCAACTGAGCTTTCAGCTGCAGACAAATTCTCTCCCTGTTTTTCAGTGTCGCCAGTGTCGTCACTAGACAATCCTTCTTGGTCAGTCTTCACCCTGGCCTGCCCTTCATTATCTACTACTTTTTTGCTCTGTTTTTCATCTTCAGAAAAGTCACGTTCTTTTTTGCCTGAAATACTTTTTTTAGTTATTCTGGCAGCCCCAATTCTGCTCATGGTTTTTATCTCTCTCTCTAACTCTGAGTCATAGTTAGAGGACTCTGAGTAGCTCTGGCGTTTCTTTTTAGAGATAATAGAGGTGTCAGTTGACTTTCCTTTTTTAATGTCAAAGTCTGACCCAGAAGTAGAATTTTTCCGTTTCCTTTTTCCATTATCGTCAGTCCCTGCTTCAGCTTTATGATTCATGTGTGTTTCATTAACGTCAGTGTCTGAAGAAGAGCTGTGCCCCATCTGGCTTACCTCCTTAAGGACTGCTAGCATTTCATCAGAATCTGAATTCTGATCCACAACCGTGGGTTGCTTAGCTTTGGGCACCTTATGAGGTTTAGGGTTATCAACAGCACAGTCAGTAGAATTTCGCTTATCCTTTTTTCTTATCGGAACTGACAACTTGTGTTTCTCTTTAATAGATTCATTACTTTCTTCATCTGAATTCGATATTGCAGGGTTACTTTCTGTTTGTCTCCTCAAGGGTGTAGTTTTTACACGTGGAGATCTTCGAAGATCAGATTCTTCTAAAAGTAATTCAACATCATTTTGAACTGAACACTCATTATCACTATTTTCCTCTTCCAGTCCACATTTCTCTGAGTTGGGGGCCACCCCAGAACTTTTACAGCCATCCTTCTCTTTTGAAACTTCCTGAAGGTCAGCACCTTTAATTGGGGAATGAGAAAGGGAGACAGGGGTGAGTTTAACATATAATTCCTTTCTTACTTTCACTGCCATTTTTGACTTACTACTTCCTCTGCTATCTTTTGAAGAAGTGGGAAGTTTTAGAGATGATCCCTCCACTTCTGGCACAGTCCCACTGTGGCGGCCATGTACTCGATAATCAGCTGAACACTGAACTTCCATAGCATTCTCAAGGCTGTCAAATATGTCTTCAGGAACTGAGGAAGGAACGGACACAATGTCCATATCTATGTCTTCAGAAGGATTAGAAGGTCCAAACTGAGGTCCATCTTTCTTACTTGAACCCTTATGTTCACCACTAGTACTTTTACTTGCTTTGTGCTCTTCTGGGATGTGCTCGCTGCCTATGACCTTAGCTGATGATCTAGCATCTACCTTTAAAAGGTCTTTCTTCTCTGTAATAGAGGATTTGTCCCCCTTTCGCGCTTTTGTTTCAGACTTTACATCTGTGATTTTAAGCTCTTTGGTATTTTTCTCTTTGTGCAAAGCATCCAAAGCTCGGATCTCTGAATTTAAATCTTCTTCCAATGCAAGATGAGTCTTCTTGATATCAGCCAACACAGATTTAAAAGCCTTAAGCTGACGTAACTTCAGAGCAGGACTCATTTCTGAATTATCTGCTGCCTGTTTCAGAAATTTAACATAACTAGAGTTCATGTTAGATGTAGTCTCAATCAGTTTTTTTGTCTTCTTATTTAATTCTTCGGGCACAGTGAGTGCTGAGTAAGTGCAAGTTACAGAACCAGAACATGAATCCTCTAGTTTTTTTTCTTCTCCATTACAACTAGAACTATTCTTCTTTGGAGAAAATTTGGATGTTTGGTCACATACTTTACTACTCTTTTCACTGTCAACTTTTATCTTCTTCTTATTTTGTTGCAACAACTGTTCTAAATTCTCAAATACGCTGTTACATGCAGTGACCAAGTCCAATAGAGGCTCGGGTTGACAAATGTAGCAATACCATTGATTGTTTTCATCCAGTATTGTAGATAACTCCTTTTGACCAAGGTTGCGCAAGATGCATTTCTTACAGAAGGCATTATGGCAAAAGTCGCAACAAATCAAGTTCCCACCTTCTGCACACCATCTGAAATGGTTTAAGGATTAAAATGTTATTTCCAGTGAAACTAATTTTAATGTCTTTATACTGGCAAAAGAATTTAAAATTTCCATCAGCGTTTTCAGTGGTAATTTAGATCACCTGCTTACTTTTAGCAGAAATGTAAAAGTAGACAAACTGGTTTTGTGGAAAAGACAACCAACAACTAAACACAGCAATGAAAACACTACAAAAGATGACTCTAGGGATAGACAGATAACCCCGGAGTTAAGAGAACATAGTACTCTTGTAGAAGAATAAAGTTTGGTTCCCAGCGCCCATGTCAGACAGCTTACAACTGCCTGGAACTCAAGCTCTAGAGGAATTCAACATGTCTGGTTTCCAAGAAAACCTGCACACACCTGCACAGACACACATGCATATATACTTATGACTGAAAAAGAATTTTTAAAGGTAATTTAAAAAAATAATTTTAAAAGATGTATCTAAAAAGATGAGAGTGGTGGGGGACGCCTTAAATGACAGCACTCCAGAGGCAGGCTAATAATCTCTGTGAGTTCAAGGCCAGCCTGGTCTACAGAGTGAGTTCCAGAACAGCTAGGGTGTAACACAGTAACAAAGTTGATAATAACCCCAAAATAGAAAACAATGAATGTTAAATGAAGAATTTATTACCTACCTACATTGCTCATCCATTCCATCTGAGTCACGGCTAATATCGTCACTCATATAATACTTAAAACAGTTCTAGTGAAAGAAAAGAAGAAGGCACAATTTATTCAAAATATACAAGTCCTAAATGTTCCTTTGAAATCATTAAAAATGTGAAAGGGATGTGCATGGATTGGATGATGAAAGCAAAACCACTGTACTGCCCAATATTAGTTTTTTAAACATAGGACTATTTCAAGAAACTGATTCCTTGAAATGCATTTTTCTTCTAATCTCATCCACAACCACTACTCTTTAAATAAAAATATGTTAAAAATTCTATTTATAGCCAAGTGGTGGTGGTGCATGCCTTTAATTCCAGTCCTCAGAAGGCAGACAGGTGAACTCCATGAGTTCAAGGCCAGTCTAGTCTACACAGTGAGTTGCAGGACAGGCTCCAAAGCAACATATGACCTTGTCTCAAGAAAAACAAAAGACTAATTTGTTGTTTGTTTAGGGACTGGAGTTAAAAACAAGAACACTGCCTCTTCTTCCAGAGGACCTGGGTTCAATATCCAGCACGCACATGGAAGCTCACAACTGTCTGAAACTCCAGTTCCAGGGGACCTGGAACCCACACATAGACCAAGGCACATAAAATAAAATAAATCAATTATTTTAAAATAAAAAAATTTAAAAGATTTTACTTAATAAACATTTCTAATCTTATTCAACTAGCTACCAAATTTCTACATAAAAGCATACATGCTTTTGCTAATTAAAATGTAAAATAGTCAGCATATACAAACAAGTACTATGTTTACAGCTAAACAATTAACAACCTGCATTATCTTTAAATCTCGAAATAAGCTGAGCAGTGGTGGTGGTCACCTTTAATCAGAGCACTTGGGAGGCAGAGGCAGGTGGATCTCTGTGAGTTCAAGGCCAACCTGGTCTACAGAGTCGGTTCTAGGACAGCTAGGGCTGTTAAACAGAGAAACCTTGTCTCAAAAAACTAAACAAAACAAATAAATAAGTATCAAAATATCTACCATGCAAGATAGGATACATCATGATAAAGAAGTCTGAGGTTCATTAAAAGGTAAATAATACCCAATACCTAATGCAGGTGTCTGAGAAGCAAAGCAGTTATTCAAATCCAAGTCTGATTAACCTAATTTTTTTCCAGTGGAACTGTTATTAGTAAAATGGTCAGCACTGAACAGTCAGACCCCATGGGAAACTGGAACACAGCAGTCAAGCATATAATGAAAGAGAGCCAATGTTGAACCCAGTGATAAAAGATCTGATTGTCAGAACTTAAAACACAAAACACTGAATAGGCCTCTGGGGAAAATAAATTCAAAGAAGGGGAAATAAAAGAAAGGAAAAAGAAAAGCTTAGCAGAGTTGTGGAAGTCAGAATCTACCAAAAATTCATGCCAGTAAAGATCTAACATACAAGGAAAGTATGGCCTACCTCTGCATTTCAAAAGGGTCTTTTTTTTGTGGGGGTGGGGGTGGAGTCTAACTGTGGACCTCTACCTGGCATAGAACTCACTATGTAAATGAGCCTGGTCTGGAATCCACAGAAATCCACCTGCTTCTGCCTCCTAAGTGTTGGGATTAAGGTGTGCACTACCACTCCTGGGATTAAGGTGTGCACTACCACTCCTGGCTGAAGGTAGTGGCTTTTTATTGGGAAACAAGCTAAAAAAAAAAAACTTAATCCAATATAAGCTGGAGATCCTGCAAGCTTGGCATCATAGATATTTGAAATTAAATCCAGGGTGTTTAGCAAGGCACAGTAGCACTAACCTTCAATCCCAGCACTAGGGAGGCAGAGGCAGCCTGGTCTCTGTGAGTTCGAGGCCAGCTTGGTAAACAAAGCGAGTTCCAGGACAGCCAGGGCTACAAAGAGAAACCAACCTCGTCTAAATAAATACATATACATCAAGGTGTTCCTAATAAAAACATGCACAAAGTGTTAAAAGCTACAATTAACATATATGAAACACTTTAATGTCTTTTATTTCCTACTCATATTAAAACTATGTTTGAGATGCAGATTTAGAGAAGTAGGATACGCAGGATAGAAAGTTATAAACCACACAAATACACACACAGGAAAGTGCAGGTTTTGAAAGACATTTGACTTCTTTCGCTTCCCAATCTCTGAATATCATGATACACATCTAGAACATACTAAACTAATCCACTTAAACAATCTAATTCTTACTCATATTTTAAGTATCAATTTGTATCTCCCAAGTTGTAAGGACACAAGCTTCCTGGATGCCCCACAATCACAGTAGCTTCCACATAATGGCCATTTTCAGGATGTTCCTGTGTACAACTGTGTCCCTCATATACTGTGAGCCCTCCAAAGGGCAAAGCCTTATCACCAAATCTTTACATACCTTACAAATAAGAACTTTCAGTGAAGGGTGTCTATAAATTGAATCTTTTTGAAAATGATTGACCTGTTGTCCACAAGCTGTGCAGCTCACGATCCCATGAAGTCCATCGTCTAGGAAGAAAGAGTGATCATTACTCACATATTTACACTCACAGGAAAAAAGATATTTGCCTTAGCCAGAATTTTACAACCTTTGCTTTGTATCAGAAATAATTTATCTCGTAATCCTTGAAAAAATGACATTTTGGACAAAGGTTAAAAAGCCTAATTTTACTGACCTTTTAAAAGACCATAACAAACTTGGCAGACTCTGATGCCTAAATGCTAACTACATTCATTCATGATAAAGCCCACCCATTACAATCTTGACATGACCTAAAGAGATACCATAAAGAAATCCTTAAAATGAGATTTAAAAGCTCTTTGTTTTTTGAGACAGGTTCTTGCTATGTAGCCCTGACTGGTCTCATACTTGAAATGTAGCCCATATTGGTCTCGAACTCACAGCAACCCTCCTGCCTCAATTTCCCCAGTGCTGGGATTATAGGCATACACCACCACACCCAGAACCAAGCACTTTCATTTGCTAATGCCTTAGAAACAAATTAAGTACCAGTTCTTAAGGAATGAAAAAAGTAAGTTACAACGGTGGAACAGATTCTTTTTCAATTGTACAGTTAAGTTAGACATACCATAAAGGTTTGGCTTCTTAAGTAAAATTTGTTTATATAAACCCTACCAATATGGTACATAGAAACTGGGTAATTAATAGTGTCACCAATTCCCAAATTTACTTCAACATTACTAATCACCAATTACCTTCCTTCCTACTTGACAGCCTGTTCCTTATCAATAACGTCTACTATTTGCAAATATAACATTGTGACAAATGTAAATAAGACATCATCTTAAAAAGCAGAATGTCTGCGAGGGTGGGAGAGAAAAGCTCCAGTTTATAATTACTGCAGGAAAACGTGACGAACACAACTTATTCAAGAAACATTAAGCAAAAAAATCTCACCTGCCTCATTCTTTCTTTTAAATTTTCTATTATTATTTATGTGTATGGGAGTATGCTTGCACTACATCTATTACTCTCAGGGGCCAAAAGAAGGAATTAATAACTTGGAACTGGTGATAAAGATGGTTTTGAATCACTTGGATACTGGGAATTAAATCTAGGTTCTCTGGAAGGGCAGCTGGTGCTCTTAACCACTGAAGCATCTCTCCAGTCCCTCCTACTTTACTCTCCATCCGTAGTTCTTTTCATTCTGAGAATATCAAATTAGAGGAATCTTAAAGCAAAAACACAACAACAAAGTCACAGAACTGGAATCCCAGCAACTGAGTCTGAGACTGGAGGATCACCTGAGCCCAGGAGTTTGAGTCTAACCTGAGCTACATAGTGATACTCTGTCTCAAGAAAGAAAGGAAGGAAAAGAGAAACAGAGAAGAAAGAGACAGAAAACAGAAAGCAATTCCTACCTCTAAACACTAAAGACAAGGTTTTGTAGATAATCCTGATATGCAATCAAGACCTTGATTCAGATCCTGTAGTAAGACTATCCTTCAAAGTAAATCAGTGCAAATGTGTACATTCAAAATGAAAAAGAGGCAACTGGTGGGGAGTAACTGTCTCTACCCCTAAACAAAAGATAAAATACTATGTATATTTCTCACCATAATTCTGTATTTTGTATTTTTGCTACTTTTAAGGCCCAAGGCACCATGGACACAAATATTAGTATATCTTTATTTGTAGGTGTTTTTTAAAAAATTAGAGAACACAATCATTCTTTTTCATAAAGAGAATCTGAAGGCTTGCTGTTACACAAGAAACCAGTGTCCTATATCAATGCTCTTTCACTTTAGACACTTTTGAAAAGAAGAAATACAATGTTATTTATGTTAAATAATGTTTCAGATAAACAAGATAAATGAAAGCTACAGTTTGAGTATTCATCTAATGTTAAATTCTATCCAGTTAAAAATCCATGTACTTTTGTGTATATTATACATGATATTTTGTTAAACTTGATGACCCTTTGGAGATTTCCTTTCTAACATGTGCAAAAGGAATCATAGTTGAGGACAGCAACTGCTTCTTATTTGGAAATAGATGGAAATCTGTTATACATACAACACTGTATATAGAGCAATGAAACTAAACCCATGCGTTTACTGCCATGGATAAATTTCAAAAATCAACACTCCCAAAGCACATTAAGAGCATACAATTTCTTGTACTTTTTTAAAATGAAAAATGGTTTTGACTCACATATTAATATAAATAACCATGCACAAACATGCACATGCATAAAACTTTAAGATAATCATTACCTGTGGGGTAAGAAGAAGGGAAAATGGATGAGAGTAGGACTGAATCAATATATTATTTAAGTGAGATCTGAAGCAAATATGGTAAAATGTTGAAATGTTATTTTACTTATGTGTTTCTGTACATGTAGGTTTCAATTTTTAATTTTTAGTTATGAAGTATCTTAAAGATTCTAAACTGTGTAAATGGAAAAGAGGCATTTTTAATTTATTGGCTCAATATATTTTAGTGGTTTTAAGAAAAATAAAATTATTTTTCCAAGTAGAAGAATTGTGTAATAATATATATGTTTTAAACAATTTAACTGGGCAAACTATATCAAAACAGACTAAGATTGTTTAATTTTCGTCAATGTACTTTTATTTATTGTCCCAAAATTTTGTTCCAAATTAATTTAAGATTATTTTATATATAAAGTATACATTCCTCACAGTATTCTAAATTCAAGCTCCATTTTAGAACTAATCTACTAAAATGTTTGAATACTAACTATAGCATCCTTTCTCTCAAACCAATAGTTTATTCACACATTCACATATTAGCAATCCTAAAATTTAATTTCCTGTGAGATTCCTGACAGCTTAGACATGCAAATCACTGATATGAAAATAAACATGAAATATTTAGGCACTACATACACTGCCCCTTAAGCATGATAGAAATATTCTTACAAAGAACATCCAAAAATATTCCAGCAACACATGTGCTAAACCTAAGCACCAGCAGCATACCACAATGGCCCAAGGAATTCCCTCCCAAGCAACAGTGGCTCCTCCTTTTATTCAGCTTTCCAGTTGTATCCACATTTCAAGCACTGACTGCTCTAGAGCCTCCACCCAGACATTAGTCTTAATACAATGCTGTATACAGTCATTTGTCTTCACTATGAGACCCATGATCAAACAAAACCAAAAACAAAACAAAAAAAAGTTACTGGTCCTTACCATTATTCTTTACGTGATGATGAAGGCTTAAGAAGAGTACCTTAGCTTTGCTGACCTATGTTGTTGAAATGGCAACTTTGCTACTATAAATGTAAAGAATATCAGAAAATCCCTTTTATGCTCAAAAGAGGTTGAACACCCTCTTGTGGACAAAAGACTAAACAACAGTCTCTTGATTTTTACCTGCACCCTAACAAATAGTTTAAGTACAGAAAATATTTTACTAGTTCTATCAAGATAATCATACTACTAAAATAAAAATCTTAAAATTTGTCAAGAATCTCAGTATAGTTTCACAATTATGTATTATAAACAAATAAAAAATGGACACTTCCAGAACACTCCTACTTGAAAATCTACTGTCATGTTCTACTTTTCAGATTTATTCCTCTCGTAGTTATTGATTCTGACTATTATTCTGCCCCAAAAGTATATATAGGCACTATCTAAATTCACACCAAAAATGTGACACAAACTCAACTGTAATAGATTTCTAAGCAAATTTTCCTGCTGCTCTGTCTACAGATGGCTAGGTAATCTGGCCATGTATATGAGGGAAGGCAAAGAGTGAGGAAACTAACAGATGGAAGGAGGTTCACCAACTCTAGCTCCCACCTCTTCCACTTATTATTACAATGCAACTGTAGTGCCCATGAAGAACAAACTGAGGCACAGTGCTGACCTCATCCAGAAATTATAACTAGTCGTGAATAAAGGGATTGGAATTTTTAATAAGTACGCCAAATAATACCTAATGTCGTGCTCTATTACTATACATAGTATTGCTCAGTATGTATGAAGTTGTATACATGGAGGCCACAGGCAAATTTTTTTGCACAATTTTGAGATTGCTTCGACTGGAGGGCACACTCATGCTATTCTGACATGTATGTCTTCTGGAACCAGTATGTGGAGAGAAAAGGCTAAGCTTCTTGTAGCAACTTGACAGCCACTGAAGGCAAAGGTGTTTTTCAAAAATGGACTTTAACCTTTTCTGCTTCAGAGCGCAAAGAGAAACAGAAGTTATTTTTAAGTAATGCTTTTAATAAACAATGGGCAGAAAAGTGGAGGTATTTTTAGTAAGCATATCAGATTTTCCAATATGGTCATAGACAGCAATTTAAACTCGTTTCATTTGCACTTGTATTTACCTCCGCGTTTTTTGAGATTTTCAGTTTTCATTTTACTTCTGCTTCTAAATTCAGGCCCTTTAAAATCATCTTTGTCTTCATTCAGCACTGGCTCTGGTTGTACAATCACTGTACCTAGAATGATTTCATTTAAAAAACCAATTACACATATTAAATGTGCAAGTGAAGTGCAAGACTTCAGTTCAGATAAAGCCAACATTGCTGGTACATAGTTTGTTTGTCAAGTTTTTAGTACTTGGATAAGGACCACAGGATAGTAGTAAAAGGGCCAGGTGTCAACAATCAAATTACTTGTTGCAGTTTAGAGATCATAAAAACAGGAGGGGGAAGTATTATGAAAAAAGAAAAGTGTCGATCAAATAGAAAGCCTCAGCCCAGCTCACGATGTTTATAGTGCCTATCATAAAAGCTGTTATGAAATGAACATTCATGCTAAGCCCTAAAAACTCTAAAGTAAATGACAGAAGGGGGAAGACATCCTATTTTTCTCACAGTCCAAATTAGAAAAAAAAATATTAAAAGATTCTTAAGTGTGTTTTTACATTGTTTTGGCAGGAGGGACTTGTGGGGTTAGGCAACAATGAAGTTCATTCTATTACTACAGTACCTAGGCTACACAATTTCCCCAATAGTACAAAGCTTCTCTAGCTTTCCAAGTTCTTCAAGAACATTAAACTGCAGGCTGTTTTAAGACACTTAAGCTAAAGTAGTCTACCAATAAACTGTAAAATAAGATGATCTGTTAGCATCTACTAAAATATTTTGGAAAGATTATCCTTCCATAAGCTCTGAAACTTCCAAACTGCGAAAAGAACAACAACAAAAAAAAAAAACGAGCATCATAAAAGGGGTTCAAGTCTCAACGTTTACTTACATTACTGGGCTTAGTACTAAAGTGGCCATTATTGGCAACAATTAAGAAAGTCAAAGCAGGGAGTCGTCAGAGTTCCCTCTGAAACACAGGAATATGTAACTCAGCAAGCAGATTTTGGCAAATTCTTAGCATCTAGTTTGTAAATGGATATTTAAGCCTCGAGGGTGAATAAAAAGGGCTGGGTAGGCACAGGGAATTGAAGCGTTTACAGGCTGTGGAAAATTTAATACTCATATTCCCAAAAATAATCATTTCACATATATGCTTTCAGAGAAGAGCTCTCAAGATTTAAAACTAAAGTGTTTCTTTCTGAAGTGGGAGAAAGAATACCCACAGACACTGGATTAAAGCAGGCCTGGGCTGAAATCTGCGCTTCTCAACCTAATGCAAGGAAAATCCCTTGAGCTCTGAATTTGAACCTAAACTTCTTAACAGCACAGAAGCAATAACTGCTATATAACACATTGTTTAGAACAAAGGTGCTCAACCTATAGGTTGTAACCCTTGGGGAGAGTTGTTGAACGACCCTTTCGGGGAGGGTGCACCTAAGATCATTGGAAAACATATTTCCATTACAATGCATAACAGTAGCAAAATTACAGTTATGAAATAGCAACAAAAATAACTGTATGAAAGGGGTCATCACAACAGGATGAGCTATATTAAAGGGTAGGGCATTAGGAAGGCCAAGAACCACTGGTCTAGAGGATTAAATGAGGTAAATCACTGACCTATGCATATTCAATACAGAACTGTAACAATGAAGATAGTCGCCAGATGTAAGTTATGAAATAGGTCACAGTTGAACATGAACTTGAGCTTAGCTCAGGCTAGTAACATCAGATACCAACTTCCGACTACAATACCAATAAAAGAAATGTTTGGACTCCTAGTTCTTACACTGAAGCACTCCCAGTGACACTCAACAAGAATCAACAGTGAGTAACTGCCATTAGGACTCAAACTTCCACATTAGTTCTTCCTACTGACAGCCACAAAACAAATACATAAAATTGCTATAGATAATTTGCATAAAAACAACAAAAAACCCACCAAAATGATAATCACCATCATTTTCTTCTACCTTTCTATATTTTATGCATTTTTCATTTTGAAATTCCTAATTATCCTAACTTAACCTAATTAAGTGAAACCCTAACTTTCATACTCACATTCAACAGACTTCCATAATTCAAAAATTATGAACATAAACATGAAAAGAGAATCAGGTTTAGTAAATACTGCTATACAAGATCTGCTAAGAGGATAGAATATATTATTTAACAAAGGAAAAGACTCTAAATAGTTGACTATTTGAAACACCATAAAATCACCAAGACCTTTATCATTCTGTAATTATCTAATAACATAGCTCTCAGTCTTGAACAACGAACAATCCAAAACCTCCATTTGGCAGTTTTTCTCTCCAACCTAATCAATAATGTTTCACAAGTAGGACTACAACACTCAAAAGGTCTGTGACAAGGCTTATTCAAAGAATAACTTCAAGAATATATCTAAATCTACTGACTAGTTAACATTTCAGGGGATGTCAGAATGCAGTTAAGACAGGGTAGAAGACAGTGATGCTTGCTTAACATGCAAAAGGCTGTGGGAATAATGCTCAGCACTGCACAAAAATAAATTTAAAAAGACTGAAGTAGACCACAAAATGCTTTATGTTTTCAAGAAAAATCCATTACATTTTGAAATAAGAATACTTGATATTTATTAAGTCAAAACTTAGTATCTTAAATCTTTAAAACTACTTCCATATTCAAATGTAATTTGGAAAGTTTGTCATCCCCTTATTATAAACCCAATGAAAACAAAAAAATGTTTGATTTTGTTCTTTTCAAAACGAACTGAATTATGTAACATTTTCAAACTAAATGTTTTCATTTCCAAACTAATATTTCCAGACCACTATCAATGTAAAACAATGTTCATTTTAAAATACATTTCAATTTAACTTCATGTAAAAATTAATACACATTACCTTTTGGCAAGCTTTGCATAGTAATTTCATTTTCTGAATTCTCATTAGCAGCTTTTTCATTTACATTCTCATCCATTGGTTTTTCATCATCAGATTCTACATATTTTGTCACAATTGAAGGTTTCCTATGAAAAGAGTTAAGTTCATGGAATTATAGGCATTTCGGACAATTGGAACAACATAGCAAGCCAATAACTAATATGTTTAGATATAATAGTGGCTCCCAAGCAAGTATGCCATCAGAGTCATTGGCAGAAAGTATTTCTTTATCATATCACTAAAGATTGTAACTGAACACACACATTATGGTAACAAGTGGATTTTTAAGGAATTATTTTTACATCACTACTTCGGGAGGAAAATCAATAATAATCAAACTGTGTTTAGTAAGAGACAGTTCTATTGTATAAGGAATGGCAAAAGCAAGTAGTACCACAAAGAAAATTTCTAGGAAGGGCTGCCCACCCATGGGTCTTTGGTATACCTGGAAATAATTCCTGTCCTTATGGATAAGTTTGGCAATTCAAAAGAAAAAAGGCCTCTTAACAGTTTGGGACTTCTTATACAACATACACATATAATGTCTTTTTCCATCCTCAACAACATCATGTTGTTCAAAACCCACATTGTTGCAAAAGAATTTCAACATTTCTCTTCTTTGTAAAGTACTCTATACTGAAAGGGTCACTAAGACATAAATCTGTCTCAAAAATTTCCTTTTGACTGAAACTGCACTACAGATCTATTAGAATTTATTGCATTACTCATCTCTAAGCATTTTGACTTGTATAGAATGGTTTATTTTAAAACAATGGCACTTGAAGTAAGTTCAGGAAAAAATACATTGAAACAGTAAACCAAAAAACAAATAGAATGAAAGGAAGAAAGAAGGGAGGAAGAAAGGGAGAAAGGGAAGGAAGGAGAGAGGGAGAGGGGGAAGAGGGAGGGAAGGAGGGAGGGAAGGAAGGAAGGAAGGAAGGAAAGAAAGAAAGAAAGAAAGAAAGAAAGAATTGTATTCCTTCCAATGTCAACCCACCTCTTTGACCGTGATGATCCTAATGATTTGGATTTTTCTGAGGTGCTAGTTCCCTAAACATGAGGAGAAAAACATAATGGTGAGTAAAACATTCCCAATAACAATACCTCTATAATCAATCATCTTCCTATAGAAGATCTTCTTATAGTAATATAACAAAATAGTATTTCAAACACCCAAAATCTTTCTTTCAAAGAATTCCAGAAACAAATTCGGAGGTTGAGAATGTACCTCAGTGGTAAAGCTGCAAAGTCCTAGGTTCAGCACCAACACCAACAGGCCACCAGCCCTGGCCACCTCAGCCCACCACAGTCCACCACAACCTACCACAGCCCAATCCACCCACAACACACACACACACACCACTAATTCTCATTACTCTTGGGTTTCCTTGACTGAAGATTAAATCTGTCTCTTAAAATGGGGGGGGGGGTTTAAGGGTGCTAGAACTTTAACCTAAGAGCCCTAGCATGTGTTCTTCCATTTATTAAGATTTAGTTTACTCTTTGATAATTTTATACATTTAATAAAAATGTACTTCAAAGCAGCTGTGATCACATGCACAACATCAAGCCACCAAGTCAGAATTCCAGCAATGGTAGGTGAGTGACTCCTGAGGCACCACCTTTAACATGTGTCCTAACACTGAACTACACCCCAGCTCTTCCATTTTCTTTTTACTAATGTTTTATTTGGAGATAATGCCCCACCATGTAGCCCCAGCAGACCTGGAACTTGCTATGCAGACTAGGCTGGTATCCAATTCAGAGTCCCACCTGCCTCTAACTCCTGAGTACTGAGGCTGCCCCTATGCCAGATCCTTCTGGATTCTTTTGTTTATGCTCCTGTGGTGTTGGTGTGTGTGTGTTTATGTGTGTAAATTGCTACAAAAGCACTCTACCACTGAGCTAATTCTCTTGAAATAATTATAATTATCAGCTAAGGATGTGGAAAAGAATACAATGTTTATACCATGATCTCTGTCTCATCTAACACAAAATAAAGGAGCAGAAGCAGATTTGAGAGGCAGGTGTTTTTAAGGAGTTACAAAAGATGCCATTCTTTAATAAACAGGACAAAATAATCTCCCTAAAATGCAAGCCTGGCAAAAGATGGAGGACCTCAGTGTGTGTTAACAGGATAATGCTTAGGGACTCTGAATATCATGTTTTGAAAACTCTTACAGCCAGCAGAGCATGGTGGCACACACCCTAATTCCAGCACTCAGGAGGCAGGTGCAAGTGGATCTCCATAAGGTCCAAGACAGACCAGGCTAGACAGAGAGACTCTATCTTAGGAGAAAAAACTCAAAATTCTAGAGCTATTTCCACAATGTATATCTCAAACTGAAAATGACAGTTAAATATCTTCTCAATTAGCAAGCCTTTTTGACCTCAAGTAAACTGCTAGAGTGAACTGCATGATAAACACCCTAACAAACACGACAACAACCAAATTAAAGTATCACAGTGATAAGTGCATACAACAGTAGCCTTAAATGTTGACATCTATTAAAACTGAAAGCACTAAAGACAAATATGCTGATTAATAACCTTTAAAATATTTCAAATTCTACTTACCTCTTCCTTGTTATTTTCCATCATATCAGAGTTAATTACAGAACCACTGTTTTTATCTAAAGAAAAAGAAGAAAAGGAAGAATATTTACCATCTCTTCGACGTATTATCAAACAACACCAAAAGTGGCAGTGTGGCATGCGCCGATAATCCAAGCACTCAGGAGGCAGGTGTAGGAGTAGTAACACAAATTTGAGGCCAAATGGCTTACATAACAGGTCCAAGATCAGTCAGGGTTACATAGGAAGATCCTATCTCAAAAAATAAAATAATTAAAAAAAACAAATAGAATACTAATACCTAGTACTAATACTAATACCAGGACCATTTTGTAGCTATGAAACAGTGATATTGATAATACTAAAAGCTTTTTATTTTATTTTATTTTTTGGTTTTTCAAGACAGTTTCTCTGTGTAGCCCTGGCTGTCCTGGAACTCACTAGGTAGACCAGGCTGGCCTCAAACTCACAGAGATCTGCCTGCCTCTGCCTCTGCCTCTGCGAATAACATGACTACTAACAAGCTGTATTTCATCTCATTATAGAATACTGGCGAAAGAGACTGGAGAGATAGCTCACTGGCAAGAACATTCACTGATCTTATAAGAGAACCCAGGTATGACTCTCAGCACCCACATGTCAGCTCACAACTGTCCATAGCTATAGTTCCCAGTGATCGGAACATTGCCCATGAACAATAAGCAGACAAGGGTTGTACAGCAATACGTGGCAAAACACCATACACATAAATCCTGGAGGGCGAGGCAATGGTAGCACAAGCCTTTAATCCCAGCACTCCGGAGGCAGATGTAAGCAGATATTTGTGAGTTCAAGTGAAGCCTGGTCTACAAGAGCTAGTTCCAGGACAGTTAAGGCTGTTACACAGAGAAACACTGTCTTGAAAAACCACCAAAACAAAACAAAACAAAAAGCAAACAGAAGAAAATAATACAGATTAATAAAACCAGGAATAAAAAAGAAAATTCAAGAAGCTAAAAATTGTTCAAAAAATGGAATCAACCTTAGGCTAGACTAATCAAGAAATAAGAGAGGATTATTATTGCCAACGTTAACAAAATAAAAAGAATATAAAGGAAATGTTATTAACTATACACCAAAAAAAAAGAGGAATGTAACAGGTAAACTAATGAAATACACTCCTGAAAATTAAGACAATATGGAAAAGATTAGTCATCAAAAATGACCCACAAAAAAACAAAAGTCCAGATGTTTTAATCAATAATTTTAACAAACACGTAAAAAGGGATGTTAATACTTTATGAATTCCTCTAAAAATGAGAGGATACTTCTGAATTTATTTTGAGGCCATAATTACCGTAACACCAAATCAAAGTAAGATAATCACAAAAGAGGAAACTACAGATTACTATTACTTCTTAAAACTCCACACAAGAAAAAAAACTACAGGACTGGGGATGTGACTTGATGGTAGGCACATAAGAGTATTTGACTCACAGGAAAAAAGCCCTGGGTTCTTTCCCCAGTACCCCATAAACCGAACATGGAGGTACATGCCTGAAATCCCAGCACTGAAAATGGAGAGAGAGGCAAGGGGACCTGGGGTGGTAACACGTGCCTTTAATAGCAGCACCTGGGAGACAAAGGAGGATCTCCATTGAGTTCAAGGTCAGCCTGGTCTGTGTAGTAAGACAGTCTTAAGTATAGTATCCGAAAGAATCTATAAAAATACAAGAAAAAATTACTAGAACTAATAACTAAATTCAAGAGCACAGGACACAAAAATGTCCTTTTGACATAGTTGTCAAAAGAGTTCCTAAAGAGTTCAAAACAAGATTTTTATATGTAAACTAAACAGAGAATGTCATACTTGAAAGACTAGAGGTTCAAGCACTAGCCTGTGCAACACAGCCATCTGTGGGGAGGGGCAGAGAGATGGCTCAGCAGTTAAACACATTAGTTGCTTTTCAAGAGAACCTGAGTTCAAGTCCCAGCACCCACATGGTGATTTCACAACCATCTATATCTCCAGTTCCAGGAAACCTGACACTCTCTTCTGACCTCCATGGGCACCAGACATGCAAGTGAGACACACACATGCATGCATACAAAACACTCCAATTTAAAAAAAAAAAGAATTAAATCTAATTTAGAAAAAAAAATTAAAACCCTGATGTGTTTAGGTAAAAATACTTATAATATTAGTATTCTGATAACAGAAAAGCACGAGGCTAAGAATGTATACAGTTGTCTATTAATTAAACATTCCTAGTCTTTGTTTTTTTAAAGAGTCTCCCTATGCAGCCATCCTCTTTCCTCATCCAGTGGAAAAAGGAGACAAGTTCAGGGTTATCCTCCACTACACAGGAAGTTCGAGCCTCCATTCTCAAAAATAATAACAAACAAACAAAAAGAACTTTCTGCATCTGCATCCCAAGAGCCTTTGATTTTATCACCCACCATTCCCGGCTGGTTATCCTCTGGCATTGCCACTGCTACCCTCACCCTCCTAAGCTGGGTCTTGAACCCAAGGCAAGCACTCTACCCCTAAGCAACACTGCCAACTTTACATTCTTATTCATTAAATGAATAACTTTCCAGTTTTATAGTTACCTTTTGAAGAAAAAAATGATGGCCAGTTTTGAATACTCATTACAGGGGGAATTATTACTATTAATCTATCATCAAATTCACCACCACTCTCTCTAATGTTCTGTCAAATATTGTTTGGTTATTCATAAATTCTTTAGCTGCAGAATTTCAAATTGGTTTTTTTCTTACAGTTTTTCTTTTACTGGACTTCCTCATAGGTCTGTTCCTAATTATGCCTGCCTTTTGATATTTGAACATAGTTACAATACTTGTCTACTCATTTCAACACCTAAGTTTCTAGAGATCCCCTTTACCTTTCATGAATGAGTGACATTTCCTCTTTTGGTCTATCTAGCATCTTAAATTGGATACTGGACACTGTGAAACAGTCAAGCTATGTCTGTTACGTTCCTGAAAAGAGCTGCTGAGTGACTGCAGATAGTTAAGGCACCTGAAATCAAAACCTACCCTATACAAAGAAGACAGCCAATTTTTTGTCCTATCCTTTCACAGCCCTCCCCCACAGCTGAGAATCCAGCATACACTTAGGCAATTCAGTCAGAAGACTATATGGGTAGGTCTTTTTTTTTTTGCTAGAGGGTTTTATTTTCTGCAAAAATTAAGAGCTCCCATTTGGTAGCTCTAACCAAGATGAGCTCTCCTAGCTCACTTTATTAACTGCTTATACAGTGCTCAAAGGTTTTTCCTTGACACTGCATCCAATTAGACCACCAGATTTTAGTTAAGTCTTAACAGCTACAAAAGGTAACTGGACAGAACATTTCCTGAGGCAAAGAGGCTTTATTTTAACAAATGGAGATTTCAGCCAGTGTCATTTCCTTCTTCTAGGCTCTGCCTTTCCTTCCATTATCCCCCACTACTTATCTAACTCCTTATTTGTGCTGCCCACAGCACATATAATATTGGATATTTGTGAAAAATATGATTGGTTCAACTGAAGCCACACTCCGCCCTGCCACTAGAAGTAGACACTTAATGTGCCCAACTAATGAATACAGGACTCTGGCAATAAACTTCATTCTAAAAACAAGAAACTAGCTGGGCAGTGTACTTTAAGCCTGTAAGTAGGGACCCTCCATATCCATTAACAAAATATATCAATTAAATCAATACAGTTGAGCATGATTAATTCCAGCACTTAAGAAACTGAAGTAAAAAAAAAAAAGTCAGGGCCGGGCGGTGGTGGCGCACACCTTTAATCCCAGCACTCGCGAGGCAGATGGATCTCTGTGAGTTCGAGACCAGCCTGGTCTACAAGAGCTAGTTCCAGGACAGGCTCCAAAACCAAAGAGAAACCCTGTCTCGAAAAACCAAAAAAAAAAAAAAAAAAAGAAAAAAGAAAAAAAAAAGAAACTGAAGTAGATGGGCTGGAGAAATGGCTCAGAGGTTAAGATGAGCCATTTAACTGTCTTCTCTTCCAGAGGTCCCAAGTTCAATTCCCAGCAACCACACAGTAGCTCACAACCATCTATAATGAGATCTGGTGCCCTCTTCTGACCTTCAGGCATACATGCAGGCAGAACACTATACATAATAAATAAATAAATCTTTAGCCCTCCCTTCTTTGGGGAATAGCGCCTCCCTGCCCAGCCTGCTAGGGCGCTGGGACCGAATCTGAACCGGGAGGACATAGGGGTGGCCGGTAGCTCCTTTGTTCCCATAGTCTGCCCGCAGCGAGCGGGGTGGGCCCTTTGTTCGCGAGCTAACCAAGCAGCGCAGAGTTTCGATCTGGGCACCAAGTGAAACATCATTGTGGTGAGTGAGTGCTGCGGCAGCTGGGATCATACCTCAGCCCGCCCACACTTCCTGGCCATCCTACAGGGGCTATACTGCCCAAACCCCCTCTCTCTTCCTATCCCACTCAGCTTACATCCAGATCCCCACACCCCCTGTCTCCCTCCCTCCTTTGGGGCATAGCGCCTCCCTGCCCAGCCTTCTAGGGCGCTGGGACCCAATCTGAACCGGGAGGACATAGGGGTGGCCGGTAGCTCCTTTGTTCCCATAGCCTGCCCGCAGCGAGCAGGGTGGGCCCTTTGTTCACGAGCTAACCAAGCAGCGTGGAGTTTCGTTCTGGGCACCGAGTGAAACATCATTGTGGAGAAACATCTCTGGGGAGTGACATCACTGGGAAGGTACATCAGTGGGCAAGAAGACCTGATCCTATAAAAGAAGATCCAAAGGGGAGGATTGGGAGGAAGAGATGGGCAGACGCCAATGCAGGAATTCTCCCAACAATCTGAAAAACAACACGAAACCACCAGAATCCAGTGACCCCACAACAGGAGGACATGAACACCTTAATCAAGAAGAAGTAGAAAAAACTGACTTCATGAAAGTGATTGACACACTTAAACAGCATATAAAAAACGCCCTTATGGAAATGGATGAGAAGTATAATAGAAAGTTCGAGGAATTGAGTAAATCAGTGAATGATACCCTAGGAAACCAAGGAAAAACAATCAAGCAG